TAACTTGTGTCACAAAGGATATCTTTGTCAGATGATGGCTGGGAAGTTATAAGGGAGACGTTCTAGCCACAATCATGGTTCTCTTTGAGTGAGGCAAAGCAGCTCATCTCTCCTTTCTCAACGTTCAAGGGTATAGCAAAAGAGTGCTTATACTATTTTGTGAAGTGTTTCAAACAGGAAGCTTCTTGTAATTGCTGAGTTTAGACAGTCCAGTCTCAGACTGTGTAGTGCAATGGATGGCATACAGTTCTCTCAATGGCTGGTATGTACCAGTTAGAGTACAAAGGCGAGGGATAGAGTTCTCGATTGATGCAAAAGTGATGATCAGAACACTTGTATATATTGTGGTATATCATGTACTCCAAATGAAACCATCAATTGGACCAGAAGATACAAATTTCAATCTGGTGAATGGAGATAAACTAGAAGTTAGTGGAAAGGTAACTCCTTCACTATATATAAAATACATTGATTACAGAATGAAGGTAGTTGTCACTGACCTCATTTCTGGCATCAACATTCTTGGAGTAGATGTACTTTGGAACTTATTAATTACTTCTGCCAGTGCAGCGTGTGAGCTGATATTCTGTAGAAGAGTTATCCAATGCAAGCCAGACCAGATTCATGAACAGGGACCGCATGAGTGTATGTGAGATAGGAAATCACAGTGCCCCTATGTACACGAGTAGTTTCTCTGGCTTACCATAGATGAAGTATAATGCATCATTGCTGTATTATGTGGTTATATAGCCCTCATACGAAATACCGTATTTGCCGCTGTATAAGACGATACCTTTTACTCTTAAAACAATGCCTAAGTTTTACCCCCTTGTCTTATACACAGGTTCAAAGATAGAGTTCCAGTGAGAACTCTCAGACTAATAGCATATTTAACTAAAACTATGTTGTTCCTGTTATTTTTGTTTGCTTTTTTGAGTAAGTGCGTTGACATCGTGCCACCTACTGCCTTACAATAACATATTTGTAATTGTATCACTTGTCTAGATTCTTCATAACTAGAAGTTAGTTATCTCACATGCTAATTACAATTAATCAATACATTTTTTTATTTGAAATGTATTGATTTCATCCGTCATACTAAAATATTGCTAATATTAAACTAAAAAAGCTAGTTTCTTTAACGCACACTGATTTTGTAAACACGTTTTTATAGTAGATTACTATATCTTAAGGTTTAGTATTTTTGAGAAAAGAAAAGCGGTTCAACTGTGATGAAAACTTTGTAAAATTGTTTATTACATGTTTGTGACTTAAGTTATGCGGCATTGAGCTGTTTGTAGCGCTTGAAGAGCATAAGAAAACATACTTATGGTTGTACTGATTACCCCAAAGTGCATATTAGCACAGTTTAAATATAACTTCTAAGAATTTCTTTACAAAAGTAACATCCCAGACTTGCTTAACAATAGAGGTCGTCCTATACACCGAACCTCAAAGAAATACACTTAATTTGCTCAAACAATCCAGAGCCATCTTATATATGGGATCATTTTATATACCAACAAATACAGTAAGCTGTTTTCTGTCCATTAAACGTGCAGCATTAGCTCGGGCAAATTTCTACCTAAAAATGATGAAGTCCTGGTGTTGTCTGCAATTATGGATTATTAGTTATATAGTTTCATGCTGGAATGGTCATTGTTATGATAAGCAAAGTAGAATTAACTGAGACAAGTGGTAGTGTTATGGTTGCATCCATCATGCCGTATCTTAAAGTCAGCTTGCAGTTACCAATATGTCTGAAATCGCTAGTTGAGAATAGTCAATGAAGTGGCAGATTCAGTGACTTGTTGGTAAAATATGCCAAGTACATGTGGGACTAAATAATCAGCTGGGTTGAATAATAAACAACAGTTACACATCACCACATAGATACAAATGAAGCACGTCGAAATAAACAGTTGCCATGCAGGTTTCTATAGAGCACTAGGAATGTGGCCAGCATTGAGATACAGTGGATATCAAAGAGTGGGATCATACAACTCATAGATGTTGTTGGTCATCTCCAGTGGTGATTGCCCCCCCCCCCCAGTAGCACAACGATATGTCTGCGGACTTACAACGCCAGAAACCGGGTTTCAATATCCGTGGTAGGCAGAGCACAGATATCCCATTGTGTAGCTTCGTGCTCAACTTCAAACAAACCAGTAGTGATTGTCAGGAATAATGAAGGTATGCCCAGGTTATTTGTTGATTTTAGAAAGGGTATTGCATTAACTCTTACTGATACTTTTCCACTACCACAAACATGTAATGGAAGGACCCAATGACTCAATATGTTAGACCTGGTATCTGGTTTATTGCAAGTCGAACTGGATGATGAGAGCAGACCTACGACTGCTTTCAGTATGAGGGATGGTTTGTATCAGTTGTACATCATGCCACCCAGTACCTGTGTAATTCACCAATTACTTTAAAGAGGCTAACAGAACCTACTCTGAATGGCTGATTTATGTCAAAGTCAGTCTAGAATTTGGTTGCACATTCGACCCTGTGTCTGTGAACCTGAACATAGTCATTCAATGGATAGAAAAAAGACAGACTTGAAATTAAAACCAGGACAATGTACATTTATATGCTTAGAAGAGGAAGTTCTTGGTATATCGTGGGTAGAGAAATAATCTTTATGAATCCCGCTAAAATCTATGGTCAAACAAGAATATGCAGTTTCTTAGGTTTTGTGTCAAACTATCAACAGTCTGTAGCCAACTTCTTCAAGTTTGCTTCATTATTATTATTATTGCTTATTGCTCCCACTAAATTTGATACACTATTTACACACAGAGTGAAGAATATGAGAAAGTATTTTTGTCTATCAAGAATGCTTTAGTCCAAATCTCAGTGCAGGAATAATCATGCAAATATTGTGAGTTCTTAGATATTGGCACCAGCGATAATAAAAGCAAAGCAGTGCTTTTGCAGCAGCAAGCTAGAACATGACATGTAATTGCATATGCTAATTATATGATCATTGCTCCTGAATGCAGATAATGTACGAATGTGAAAGAACTGCATGCGGATTTTATTTGTATAGTAGGAAGTTCACAATACGATTGAACATTTCTTTGCTGGAATAGTTGATGAACTTTAAAAACCAAGAAGAGATGATAGCACACTGAATAACGGGGCTGCATGAGTATGATTTATTCATACATTATCACCCCTGCCCACAACAAAGAAATGCTGATTGATTGTTTCACTTTACAGTGAGATCCTGTTCATTCATTGAATGTCCGACCATGGACACCATGTGAGAGTTGAAACCATTTTTGTTGTAGCAACGATAAGGAACTTTTGGTAGAGCAATTGAAGTGCCCCCCCCCCCCAGTGGCACAGCGGTTTCGATACCCGTAGTTGGCAGAGCACAGATAACCCATTGTGTACCTTTGTGCTTAACTTCAAACAAACAAACTGAAGTACCAAAATCCAGTGTGGGTACTCTTTGTCGTATATTGAGGTAAAATCATAGCTTTACCTAATGAGTTTTTTCAATTTCACAATTATAATTCAACTTCATCATTTTTTAATATATGACGCCTTATTGCACCTCGTATATTCAGGCCTACTAACAAATGATCCAAAAAAATTAAGAATGTTCTAGTAAATACATTTATTTATTAACTCTGGAATGGAACCTTATAATCTTAGATATGTTTTTTAAATGTTTATTCACTTGAACTTACTTATATAGGTGAATTTTCAACTGGACAAATATTTTCACAGGTGCACAATTTGTGATTAACTGCACACTAGGAAAATCCCTCGGTAAAACATGACCACTTCAGACTGAGATATATAACATGGACATACTTAACCTATGTCACTTTTCTGAGTTGCTACAAGTATAGAAAGTTGGGCTGTATACCTTTGATATCAACCACTAAGCTGTTATTTACAACCTGTGTTACAGCTAGTGTTACCCAGTACTTTGAGGTAAGATATTATCTAGACTTTGTTACCCATACTTTTGTTAGCATTCAATAGCAGTTATAATGTTGTCATTAGAATTGATATATTTAATATTGGTGTCAACACGGTACACTGTGTCGTGCCACCCAGAGGAAAAGCTGGCCTAAACAGAGGAAACTCCTTCAAAGAAATATTTGTTTCAACTGAGAAAACAATCGTGGATACCGCTAGTCCACTCCTGAAGACAAAATGAAGTCAACTGTATATACTCATGGTCATCAACTATTTCATGAAGTAGTCTATGGCTTGTACATTGGTTGATATGTCAGCACAGTCGATGGGTAATGCATTAGCAGAGTACTGGATAGTCTAAGTTGGAGGACCCAAAAAGATCCACTTGGATCAGAGAGCTAATTTTACTTGCCAGCTGGTCTCTGAGATGCGTAAAATGTTAGATATGATAATAAGTAGGCAAACAAAAATTTGTAAGCATAACGAAATGATTTATTTATGGTGGAACATAACGTAGATATTTCAACATAATATTGGCCTCTCTTATTCTTACTACTCTACTGGACATGCGCAAAAGACGTAACAAAATATACAAGAAATAATTTGTGGAAATGACGTCATTTATATTTTGTAACAAACGAGATTCGACGTTTGAAAAAGATATTCTACAAATGCATATCGAGTTGGCATAAGTTATGAGGCATAAGAATATCAGTTAGAAGCATTACAGTATTTTTTTCATTAAAATACACACATACATTGATATTGTTAATACGCAGTACAAAGCACATAATTACCATATTCATATTTAATAGGCACAATATAAAATTGACTCTCTCTTTAAAAACTTGTAAGCAAAATTGCAAAATTATTTTTATTCTAACATGAAGATTCAGAGTATGCAGTGCTTCCAACTGCTTCTATTTGGTATTACAGGTTATGCTTTAACTTCCTTTTTACTTGTATAGTAATTTATTTACACGTCGTCCTTTCGTTTGTCATAAGGCAGAAATGGTGTTCGCGTTTCATATTTCCAAACAAGTTGTACGTTATTCCCACAAGTCATTTCGTTTTACCTTTGTGCATTATTCTTTTCAAATGTTCTTTCCTTCATGATGTGATCTATAAGAAGGCCACGTGTCAAATGGTGTAATGTAGAATTTTGCTATTCACACTTTTTGTTTCGTGTCAGAAATGTAGCACACTCAATTGGGTAAGTTCATATTTGTATTAGGGATGTGTTTTGTTGAAATTATTTTAGTATTTCTTGAAGTAGTGAAGGAAATTGTCTTTGCAATGAGCAGTCGCTCAATTCTGACTCTGAGTAATGGTAAGCCTAACCTTACAAATACTATTACTACTAGACTGAGTAGTCATTTAACTTGCCTAATTCTGTATCTTTATTATACTTTATAGTATTAGTATATAGTTTTATAACCTTATTGAAACACGATCTCACAATTAACCCAGGCTAAAAGTATAAGGTAAAAGTAAATGTTACTCTAGTTTTACAGATCTCTATTAATGTCTAAACAGTATACGGTAAAGCCTGAATCCGCGAACTTAAACTCTACAATCAGTTTACTATTAATATTTCAGTCAATCACGGACGTACTCTATCTACATCTCCCTGCTCTGCTCTACAAACACCTGACGCTGCATGATCATTCAACGGCAAGTACAGCAGAAAGGAAAAAAAAAAAATACCAGTGCCAACAAACAACCCAGCGAAGATCTCAGTCTTTCTTTTCTTCTCCACGTCTCCTCACAGCTTTTCCCGCCACTTGTGAGTTTACTAATGTGAAAATTACCCGTTCAGCAACAATAAGCCAACCCCATCACTCACGTAAGCGTTTAATACTTAAAAAACCTCGGCATCCTATTTGAAATTATAGTGTGGGGTGAAGAGAAACAAATGTTTCTGATCCCTCTGGTTATATTTCATTCCCATATTACTTACCTAAATACCTACCAAGCCAAAAAGTAAAGATCTCACAATTGATAAGACTGAATTAATGGATCAAATATTGTTTGTTGCTAAGCGAAAGCTACACTGTGTTATGTATACTACTGGCTGTGTGAGTGCGTCTCAATGTTTCAATTTTGTGCTCTGCTCACTGCAAGTATCAAAACCCTATTTTTATTATAATAAGCCCCCAGATTTACTACTGAGCCACCAGAGGGTCCTTACCAAGTAAGAAACATGCTAACACTAACAGATTCACTAATTTGATAAACAGTCAACTTTCTTCAGTCTTATCTGATGTAAGATTATTGGGTCTATAATTATTGAGACAATTTTTATCACCTCTCTTGAAAAGAAGAGTTACATTAACTAACTTCCAATCATCTGGTACCTGCTCATTATTCAAGGACTGACAAAAAATAATAGCAAGTGGCCCACATATCCAATCCTTAACCTCCTTCAAACCCTTGAGGAAATATTATCTGGGCCAGGAGCCTTATCATTTTTTAAACTTCCCATTTTTTCTTAACTAGTTCAGAATTAATGCAGTCATCTTGTTTGATCTCATTTCCATTTATCAACTAATCAAGATGTAGAATACTACTTAGATCTTCATCAGTAAAAACTGAAGAAAAAGTAAAATTTAATAATCCAGACATCTCATAATCATCAGATACTAGCCTTCCTTTATCATCCCTCAACGGTCTTATCCCTATCCTAATATCTTGTTTCCCCTTAATGTATGTAAAAAATCCTTACTATAAATTTCTACATTTTCAGCCAACTTTTTCTCATACATCCTTTTTGATGTCCTAATTTCCTGTTTCACAAACTTTCTTGATCTTCTATAATCTTCCAAGTCTCCTTTCATACTGGTCAATTTAAATTTCTTAAATTTATAATGGTTTTCTTAATTTTATTTCTTAAACTTTTTGTGAGCCAACCTGGCTTTTTCACTTGTAGCTACCCCTTTCTTTCTATTAGGAATATGTATGCAACTATAAT